ACTGAACCGAACCAACTAAAATTCAGCTTGATAACAGTTTAAACTCGACTCTTTCTTTCATGTTCAGCCTATTATTAGAGGACATTCCAGGTTCTAAAAAAATGTACAAATAGACAGATGATCCCTAAGCTCACCGTCTCACAAATTGAAAAGGGCGACGGGGTCTGAAAATGATGATAACAAGGGAGAGCATTGGACAATTTTGGTGCATCAATTGACCATTTAATTTACCTTTCTAAAAGCGATTATTTTTAGTTCAGTCGCTGTTCAGTCTCATCATAGTTGGAATATTTAGATCAAAAGAGAAAGGTATTTCACAAAAGAGAAAAGAGTGGGTAAGCGGGATGGGCCATGGATGCAACGTGTTAAGCGAAAATTTTTGTTGTAGGAAATTAGTGCTGTACACATACGGTCGATACACCGATGCGCTCATTCCAACTATACTGTTTATGTTCATTAAAAACTACAAAACTCAAAAGTTATCTCTAGTATTTAGAAAGGCCTATAATTAAAGTTTTGAGAAAAAAGCCTTGATAGTGAAGTTTATTAACTCCTGATGAATATAAGATATAAGAGTAAAATTTTCACTCTCGTTTTTCTTACTGTATGTCCCCATTAGTGAGATGAAGGTGAGGAGTTCGAAATTGTCTAAAATCGATGATGTAGATTGATGTATAACCCATTGTTTACTAAAGTAAAGTAATAAATTTTGTATTACTAACGGTTCTTCACCTAAGCGATCATAAAATAGTGCATCATCTGATGTAACATGTGATGTATCATATGTTTTGATTTTTTGTTTACTAACAGCTAACGAAAACGTTTTCATTTGACTTTTATTATCATCATCAATATTTTTAATACCAACTTGTGCACGCTTTAACTCTCGAATCATTTGAAAACTCAAATACATATTTGGTGTTTGTTTTTCGTCACCCATTGATCTTATACGATGTAAATTACGTCTGACAATTAACCATTTTGAGTCATGTTTTAATGAAACAGCACTTAATGGTGCTTGATAATCATCGCTTACTGGTATCTGTTCACGCGTACTTTTAGCTGATGATGTATCTGGTTGTTTTAAACAATGACGTTCATCACCATATGTGGTAACAAATAAGTTGGCTCGCTGATAATCCGCATGCAATGGATTATCAATTATTTTCATTTTACGTTCGTTTACTGGTCTACGTAATACACGCCGGTGATGTGATTCTTTCATTCGGCCCTTCATAAATAAAATACTCATTACAATACTACTAGTTAGCATTCGAACTTTTAATTCCAAAGATGATTGTAAAAAATAGAAGACTTTTGATCAGATAAAGACTTCTTTTATAACAATCGTTATTATATTCTTAGCATAATTACTATCTTCGAATCCACTCGCTAGTTTTACAACTTACTTCATATTACACGAAAAACCGAGTTATATAGAATGGAAAATCGCCAACTATAACTTGTAGTATCTTCACTAAGTTAATCAAGAAGAGTTCAACAGACTCAAAAATGTACGGTCAATAGAAGATCTCCTAGACGCAGAGCCGTCCCGAACTAAGGGGTAGAGGACGTGAACCCCTTCTAGTTTTTAGAAATATCTGAAAATTTAATTTTTGGTAAGCATTAAAAAGTTAAGATACGCTACAATGTAGTACTATGATACTTGTTTTGTTCGAAGTTATGTCATTTTATAACTGACCCCCGCCTCCTCTAAAGTTGCAGTGATCGGGACGGCCCTGCCTAGAGGTATTTTTAGATTGAAGAACTGCCGACTAGAAGAAATATATCAGATTGGTAAACTAACACGGATTACGTCCAGAAAATCAAAGCAAAAAAGTTGTTTTTTATTTCCATCTATTGAGTGAAAATTATACCGGTTGGAACTCGTCACACAGAATTTCACCTGGAACAGATCTGGGAAGTTTCTCCGCATATCGTTCTTTGAAACAAGTAAAACTGATTAACATTTTTAGAAATAAGTTGAAGCACACCGGTTTTGCAAATGTTGAGAACTTGTGCTTTCTTTACAGACATAACTAACATTCCGATATTCGATTCGTGTAATACCTCTAAAATTTCTTGATGAAATAGTTTTTCAATATGTTCTTCTCTACCAAAAAGGCATCCACAAAAGTATAAGATAGTATAATCATTCGAAAAGCTACATTCGAAAGGATCAAGTCAAACTACCGCAGCTAAACGACATCTGTTCCACTTTGACCATCTGATCACTCACGAGGAAACCTATCCAAGTGATACCTTCCGATTTCGTTCATTCATACATAGATCGATAGAGGGTATCCAGCTAGAAAAAAGCCTAAAAGGATATCCACTGACGGCTCTTGAAGACCCGGTTTTGTGGAAGACCAGTTTTTCAAGAACTCTAAAAGAATAACCAAAACCTTTTCTTAATGAAGCATGATTGTAGTCCCCACATTTCTGGTTAATATGAGAGATCTCCCAGCTCTACACAACCTTTCTTTGCAAAGTTGTAGTATTTACAAGAAAAGCCCTAAATTAATTTCTTCTTATTTCTGTAGCTTTGAGCTAACAATGAATATGTAGGGCTGTTCTTGTAGATTCTATAACTTTGCAAAGAAAGGTCGTGTAGAGCTGGAAGATGTCTCATTTTAATCAGAAATGTGCGCGCTACAATCATGCAGCATTAAGAAAAGGTTTTGGTTATTTTTCAAAGTTTCTGAAAAACTAGTTTGCCACAAAACCGGGTCTTCAAGAGTCGTCAGTAGATATCCTTTTAGGCTTTTTATTAGTTCGATATCTTCTATCGATCTATGCATGAATGAAATTGGAAGGTATCACTTTGACAGGTTTCCTCAGCAGCTGACCGATGAAAGATGAATTCTGAAATGCGTGTGTATATTAAACAAAAGAATATAAAAAAAGTTACTAACTTCTACTTAATAAAATATGTTTTCTAAGAAGGAGACTTAACAAACATTAACAGTAAAAGGTGTCAATTGTGATTGTGCATTACTTTTTGTCCTTGTAGAATAGAAACAGATCATTAGTCAAATAAACTTTTATTTTTCTGACCTGTCTCTTTGTTGCCGACATATGTATCAACGTTGTGTTTTAATAATATTCTTTCTATGATTGATACTCTATACAATTAAATATTTATATGAAATATATTTAGATCTAAAACGGTGTTTCTCTAGGTTATCGATCAAATCAAGTATAATAATCGTACATTTGGTCCTGTTTTCTATTATTAACATGTTTTTTAAAGTGTTTTTAACACATACAAATATTAGTGTTTATTCATTGTATTTTAAATTTTCTTTGCATATCAAATTAACTGGAAGCATTTTTCAAAATCGAAAAGAACACGAAAGAATGAATTTTGAAAACTGAGAAGAAATTATTGCAAAATGTTTTTTCTGTGTCAATATAAAATTCTATAGTCATTTTAGATGTAAAGTGATTGTGATTGTAAACTGAATTTTACATTTTTAATATCGGATGAATGAACAGTAAGAAGTATATTATACAGCTCTTCTGTTGTATGTTTTCATAAACGAGTATTATGATCATCATTCTTTGCATATTAATGAGAAAACTGTCGAGCAAGTGGACACGATTGTTACAACAATTAATATGCATAAAAATCAACCTTGAAGAAAAAAAAAAGGAAGACCAGTTATACGTAAGGGAAACATTAAAAATATTTTGTTGTTATTTCTAACTCTTCTATACACTTATATTAATGATATATACACTTATGTAGACATGAAGTGAATTTAAAATTTAAAAAGGCTAAAATTATGAGTTTTATTCACTTATTTTGGTTTCTCTATTTTTCTCACGCAATGTATATACACTAGTTTATAGACAGATATATGTCATACGGCAACAATCTCAATTAAAGAGTCATCAAAACATGGTAACAGTAGATTATAGGCACAAGTTTACCAACAAGGGAACAGAAAAGCACTCAGAAAAAAGCAGAATGCTCTTGGCGATTCACTTTTATATTCTCATTGTATTTGCCCCGTTAGACACGAGCTTACACTGGATAACCGCTGTCACATTGCGACACACGATAGTTGCATCCACAGGCTCAAACGCATGGTTTTTTGCAATACTATGGTCCAATAAACCTTTCGCCGTAATAGAGGACTATTAACGATTTTTTCTGAGATTTTCAACTTTAGTTGCTCATCAAAATAGAAGACTTTGTTGGTAAATCATGGTGGTGAGCCAAGGTTCTTCTTTTACGTGCTCAAGCCAAAAAAGACCGGCTATTGATTCGAAAACAAATATGCGTGAGCACACAGTTGATTATCGTACTCGGTCTCAGAGCAGGCGTTCTAGAGCCAAAAAAGAACACATACTTAACGATCAGACAGTAATGATTTGGTTGATCTCATAACGAAATCAGCGGAAAATAGTAGTATAAAAATATGGTAGATTAAAACAATATTTTTATTATTTTTCTCTAAATGCTAATTCTGTTTTTCTTGCTCCAATTGATTAAGGAGGTGGACCAAAATGTGGAATGGAGGGAACAATGTTCGTTTTCAGATCAATAGCCTGTGTTTTCGACTGTAGCGATCGAATACGTAAACGGTCTGTAATAAATTATTCTATCCAAGAAGAATCGATTGATGAATTCAAACCTAAATCAGCATTGGGAAAATATGTTTTTCATACAGGACACAGATTTCAACAATATTAAAATAATAGCTCTGGACGGTAGACACTATCGACTGTTGGTTGAGAGCGTTTCTTTTTCTTTTTCTGTATGTCACATATACGTATTTGGATGTCAAATAGATGTTGACGTATGCGACAAAAAAAAGAAACGTTGCACGCTAAAGTTCTATTTTTTGTTTTTCTCGATTTGTAGAGAACAAAAAAGAATGAATAATAGCATTGTATATATACACTGTAGTGAATAGTCAAAGTCATATTTTCGTTTCACACTAGCTTGTCGTTTGCTTATTTTATTCTATACTGATGATGAATCGGTACACTCGAAACGTTTATTGTACTTTATAAATATTCTAATTAATTAATAAAACGTAATAAACTCCTAAAATTATGCAAAGTTCTATATTTCTAAAAGTTCTGCCATTAAACAATGATAAACGTAAAAGAAGAATTTTGAATTACCACGTGTGACTAGTATCTTGACCCGTGAAAAATCCAAGGGGGAAACAGTTGAATTTAGTCCGTTAAATTCAAAATTCATCTGAATTCATTCAAATTCACCTAAATTCACATAAATTCATCAAAAAGTCAAGGAAACTTTACTTAAATTGAACGGAAGTCGGAGAGAAAGATGCTAGTTAACCTCCAAAATCTACCATGATAACGGTGTGAGTATTGAAGGCCCCCACCCTTAGAAATAGTGATTTCCGGTCAAAATAATGGTTTTGAGATAAGCACAAGGGAAGATCGCCTGCAGTGTCTCCTTTCAGAATCTGTATCGCTTTTGGTTACAAAAGTGATTTTTCCGAGATTTTGAGCAAGTTTTCTAGCAGCCTCGAAAAACCGGATCTTCAAATAATAGCTTTTTCCTGGATACTAATGCAATTAAAATTTTTCTAAACACACAGATTTGTAGAGCAAACGTTTCTGATCAAAATAAGACCTCGCACAACTCTGTATGACTCTGCATCAAAAAGTTACAGGCATTTTCCTAGAAGTTCTAAACTTGAGTATTTTATAAAGCGTTTTCTCTATATAAGAGTTACGCCTGCAGTATTTCCCAAGATTTTTTATAGCGGTTTATCATAGAGAGTTTATTTTTTTTTCTTTCAAAGAGGAGAAGAAACTACATCGTCCAACCACGCTGAATATCGTGCCAATATTTGTTTTCAAAACAGTTCCAAAAATCTGCTGAAAACCTTTTTTTTAGTGAAATAACCCATTTTTGCCTATTTTTCAGTAATATTAAAAGATTCATAATCCAGTCAAGATCCATCCAAGTTATGCCAGAATACCAAGATGTACTCTGTTTTACCTACTCAATACGATTTTTTCCTTGAAAATAGTAAAAAACATTTTTGTACTTCGGAAGATTTCTAGAAAACCTTTTCAAAAACCAAAGTATTTTCTGTTGATTTTTAAAGATTTTATTGAACTGCAGATTATTAAGCAGGTAAAACAGAGTACATTTTGGTATTCTGGCATAACTTGGATGGATCTCGACTGAATTATGAATTTTTTAATATTAAATAGGCAAAAATGGGGTAT